CAAACAAACAAAAAAAAAGACTTCTAGATTATATTACAGGGTGAATACAGAGAGTCTGATCTCCAACAGCTACATCTGACTAAAATTGTCTTTAAGGTCTCTTCTAAAAGCTTTCTTAAAGTCCCATAAGTGTTAATCATTGTTAATCTTGATGACCCAGGGTACTACAAATTTTCCTGAAGTTATTCCTAAATCCTCAGAGAAAGATTCTGTCTTGTTCAATATAGCTATAATATTCTAATGCTTTGAAAATCTGGGATCCTAAATGGAAAATGTTGGCACATTATCCAGATATTTATTTTACCAAAACGCTTCATTCCCTGATCATTCTGAGCCATTTATTGCTTAATCTTTGTAGGTGGATGTTTATTTTTCTTAAAGGAAAGAGAATTTTAAAAGACTAGATAGATCTCATGGGTTAGAACCTTGGCTGTAAAGACTCTTTTGGATTCCTTTTTGGCTGTTGGCTATGGCAACTTGTTTTCTTGCAGAGATGAAGCATCTGGATTTTGCTATCTCAATGATGCTGTCCTGGGAATATTACGATTGCGACGGAAATTTGACCGTATTCTCTATGTGGATTTGGATCTGCACCATGGAGATGGTAAGCCTTTCAGTTTCAAAGATGCTTTGCTACCAGGACAGCAGGTTTTTATCAGTTAAGCTTCTTCTAGGTAACTGGTAAAAGGAGTAATGCCTGTTGCAATTGAAATTTTCCTAATTGAGAATTCTAAAGTAGGTAGTGTAGAGATTCTTCTAGCTGATGCAATTTCTGCTTTGCTGCCCAAGCTGGCTCCTATAATTTCCTCTCCTCTTTCTTCCTGTAGCAAAGCTCTATGATAGAGTAGAGAATGTTAAAAAGTAGAATTCTTACCTAGTGTTTACTCCAGAGTTCAGTAACCTCCCTCAGGCCATTTCCATTGGTTCTAAGCAAAATCTATGGTTAGGGATGACAGCCTTATCTCTTTTCACTGATGCTTCTCTCAAGACAAAATGGATGGGCAATAGGCTAACATCAACAAGCTACCAACTCTTGTTGTGATCAGGATCTGTGCCATTTCTTTGTATTACTAAAATATTTAGTCCTGCACAAACCCAGGACATCTTCCCTAATTTCTAATAGCAGAATCTCTTCTCAGTTGGCCTTAACCCATTAATCCCCTCTTAGAAGACTTTGTTGAAAGGATTTATCCAACCTTCCTATGTACTTTCCATCTTGAATATAGAGCTCTGGTGATGGTTGCCATATTTTCTTTCTTTAAGAAATCATGTGTGTGACAAATAGTATTTCCATTCATCTAGGAACTCTTATCTAGTAAATTATTACTTAAAGATATCCCTTCCCCTCCTCCACATCAGTCCTCTAATCATGATAGGCTCAGGGACTCCAGCACCCTGGGAGAACTGTTGTCTGAGGGTACAGTGAAACCTGCTTCTGAAGGGTTTAGAAGAGGTCTGAGTTCCCAACTCTGTGGAACCTGAATACTGAGGAAATAACCAGGTGATCACTATAGACAATTAAGTTGGGGATCTGGTCTATGCCTGGATTCTAGAGAGAGGCTATCAGGGGTGTTGTCCATCCCTTAAAACTACAGTGCCACCTGATGTCTCAGCAATATATTGCAACACAGATGTATTCCTACTAAAGTCAGACCCTCCCACTATATATATATACTTTTATGTACATATGTATACATATAGTTTTTATTTAGTTTTTTTCTTCTTGTTAATATTTTATCTTTTTGTTGTTCTTTTGTTTATTTGTTACTAAAGTTGCTTATTTTTGGTTATTTAGAGCTTTTTGATATTTTGTGTTGATGTGTTCTGTTTCTTGCTTATTTGTATGGTTGGTTCTTTTCTTAACCTCTATTTTTACTTTCTTCAAGAGCAAGAGCTCCTGTCTTTTTTGGTTACAGTATTTTAGCCTCACTTATTCTCTCTCCATATGTCACTCCAGTACATTCTCCTTTTGGACAGAGACTCTTCTACCTTTCTTATCTTTCCCATGAAAATCGCCTCTGCAACAGCAAAAATTTCTCCTCCATTTTTCTTGTCTTTCTCCTTTCACTCTTTAATCCATTTCTGTCCTCCATTATATATAATGGTATTTTTAATTTCCTTTATCCATTCTTATCTTAACATTATTTCTTTCTTTTTTTTTTTTTTTTTTTTTTTTGCTGACAGCTGGGGGGACACAGTTGTGGTCTCGCAGGTACCCCACAGCAGTAATCAGGCTCAAGGGGGCTAAGAGACTTTTCTACATCTGGTCCTAGGAAGATAGCATTGGCAAGATCATGCTGCAGAATTTTTTCTATTTAATTTTCATTCTTACTTAATGTTTCCGTAGTGTTTTTTGGTTTTGCTCTGTTCCTTTCCTTCCTAGTTTTGGCAGAGGAAGAGTCTGGCTCTGCTCATACTGGTAAGGACAGCCAGATATTGAAGAATCTAGTCTAGCCCCCTCAAAACCTTTGAGTTACAAGCATGACCTTAGCACCATCCTGATCAATACCATTTCTTCCATTACTCTCAGCCTCTCTTCCTGACCTCCTTCTCTCCTGTTCTCCAAGTTTTTTTTTCCTCTTTCTTCTTCTGTTGTTCCTCCTTCCCTTTTTTTTTCTTCCTTTTCTTTTTTTTATTCTTTCCTTCTGTTTTATTCCTTCTTTCTTTCCTGCCTGTTTCTCCTTACCTACTCCTTACCTTTCTCCCCATTTTGGCCTCACACCAAGAGGTCTCTTCATCACATAAACTCTAAGACAAAGTAATTTGAAGGAAAGGAGGAACTGAAAAGGAAAAAGGTGCACAAAGAGGTTAACAAGAAGAAAATACACATGAGGAGGAACAAACCGAAAAATTCAGGCACCATGGAAAACCAAAATAGAGCAACTTCTCCAAGGACCACAAGGCAGCTTTTACAGAAGACTTATCCTATAAGCAATTAATGGATCTAACAAGAAGAGAATTTAAAATATGGATGATTAAGACAATAAAGGGAATAGATGAGAAAATAGAAAGACAGAACCAAAAAACAGATGAGAGATATGTAGAATATAGAAAAGATATGAATGAGCTCAAAGAAATTAAGGAGACAATCAGGGGATATAAAGAACCAGTAGAAAGTATAAAAAATAGATTAGACCACAGAGAAGAAAGAATATCAAAGTTAAAGGATAAAGTCTTTGAGTTAACACAGGTAGTTACAGAGTCAGAAAAGAAGAGAGAGAAAACAGAGCAGGTTCTTAGAGAACTACAAGACTCCATGAAGTGTTCAAACATATGGATAATAGGAATCACTGAAGGGAAAGAAGATTGTTCTAAAGGTATGGAAGTCCTACTGGAGACTATCATTAATGAAAATGTCCCAAGTTGTTCTAAAAATCCTGACACACTTCTTTCAGATGGATATTGAACCCTGGGTCATCTTGATTCGAACAGAACCTCTTCAAGACACATTGTAATGAACCTGTCCAAAGTCAAGATGAAGGAGAAAATTCTGCAAGCAGCTAGGAACAAGTGCCAATTGACCTACAAGGGCAGAGCAATTAGAATGACAGCAGACTTTTCAACTGAAACTTTCCAACTCAAAAGAGCATAGTCATCCACCTTCAGCATCCTTAAACAAAATAATATTCAGCCCAGAATCCTGTGTCCTATTAAACTTAGCTTCAAAATTCATGGAGAAATGAAATCTTTTGCAGATATACAATCACTGAGGAAATTCATCACAAGAAGATTACCAGCTCTAAAGGAAATACTTAGACCTATTCTCAATAGTGAACACTACAATGGACCACCACCAAAGTAAACACCTAGAAGCCAAAGGCCAGAGCTTAGCTTCCACAATGGCACAAAGCATAAAACTACACAACAAACTATCTTCTAATAAGATGAATAGAATTAAACCATACTTATCAATACTATAAATAAATGTCCATGGATTGAATTCCCCCACTGAAGAGACACAGGCTTGTCTGATTGGTTAAAAAAAAAAAAAAAAACCACAGGCCATCTATATGCTATCTCCAGAAGACACACCTTGCCTTGAAGGAAAATCAAGACTCAGGATTAAAAGATGGAAAACATATTTCAAGCAAATGGAAATCAGAAGAAAGGAGGGATTGCAATCATATTCTCAGATAAAAGTGGATTCAAAGCAACTTTAGTTAAAAAAGACAAAGATGACACTTCATACTGGTCAAAGGACTAACACAACAAGAAGACATTTTGTTTAACATTTATGCAACCAGGGGACGGAGCAAGATGGCGGACTGCAGCCAGCTTTTTACAGAAGCTCCAGTCCAGTAGGAGGCTGAAAGGACAGAAGTTTAGCAAATTAGCTGATGGTTTGGAGCAGAGCCAAGAGAGAAGATTGAAGAGCGCACTTCAACCTTCCTGAGGCGAGCTGCGACCCCAAAAATACAACCAAAAGGTACAAAATCCACCACCAAGCGGATGGGAGTCCCCTCCCCCACAATAAGGGCTCGCAGTTTACTCCATGCAAACAAGCAAGCAGAGTTCAAACTTCCTCCCACACTATTCCACGGGAGAGACCCCCTAAAAACTGGACCTCCTACCCCTGCTGGTATGCCACGGCACCCTCCAGCCAGGCATAAAACTTTAAAACTGTATAAATCCGTATATATTCCCCACCTGCAACACTGAACTCCGAGGAGTCCCCACCTACCCACTCCGAGATCTGGAGGTTTATTACCTATGGAGTCCTGATTCTTGGGCATCTCCTTGAGAGAAGTGGAGGGGGAAAGGGCAGGTGCTGTTCTGTGTTGACTGTGGTGCGGGCGTGAGGAGAGGAGAGTCAGCTCGGGGGACACCAGTGCAGCAACAGTGGCTGAGCAGCAGGCTGACGCTATTCCAGCCCCATCCCTTTGGGCAAGCAGAGGTTCCAGACAGCAGCCACAGGCAGGGTGCACATAACTTTCTTGGGTGGCGCGCCAGCCCTCAGGGGGCGAATGCAGCTGAGGCAAAGGCAGTGGGTGGGCAGAGGCTAGAATTGACACCTGAGTGTAAAACTGAATGCAACCTCTGATTTACAGAGAAATCTAGCTGGACAGAAGCCTAATTTAAACACACAAGAGCCCCCTGCTGAACTCAGATTTCTGGCTGATTTTGCCAGGTAAACCCCGGGAGCTGTGGCCTACTGGAGTGAATAGGGTCACGGACCCCGGGGACCACGAATGACTGGGTGTAAGGTGAGGAAGGAGGTATTAGACTTCCAAGACTAACCCAGTTGCCGAGTGGGTCCCTTTGCCCTCACGGAGCGGGGTGGGCCCCAAAACTGCTTGCTAGAGTCACATGCCTCACGGGCAGCAGGCTTGTTCTCTGGGCAGTCCCAGAACCACTCGCTAGTGCCGCAGGCGCCCTGCAGGCAGAGGTGGAGGAATCCTCCATTCCAAGTAGACCCAAAACAGCTTGCGAGAGACACACACACCTGACGGGGGCCAGGGGAGGTGTTCCCCGATCCAGGCTCCCAAGCTGGGTGGGCCTAGAACTGCTTGCTAGAGCCACGCTCACCCTGCAGGTGGTGGTGGAGGGGTCTACCACTCTTGGAGGGCCCAGAACTGTTTGCTAGATCCACATATGTCCCTCGGA